GGTCAAGTGGCTGATAACGTAATTCCTCGGTCAATTTGTCGTGGCCGAAAATGATGCTGATAGATTCTTCCTGCTGTCAAACGCGTGCTTTGCGCTAACGGCTATAACACAATTTGTGGTTGAGCCTTTAGCTTTGCGAGCAGAATTACGTAACGAATCGTAGAGAATTTTTATACGTGAATCTAATTAATGTACGCGTTACGATAGATTGTTGGGATCGATGCCAAATTCCATTGTACATTTATATTTCAGGTACGTAACGTCGTGGCATACATAGATATACGTACTATGTGAGCAAAATTTTTTTCTAAAGCCAGTACAAGCTGTGTAATGAGGCAATCGATGGAATTTGTTCTTAATTTTATTGACGTTCGGTGTACAGGGGCTACGAGTGTGGGAGTGCAGAAATTTTTGTATTTTTCATGAAATATTAGTTTGATTAAAATTTTTTTTTTTTCTGATCGATCTGTATGTATAATTTTTTTTTCGTGCACTCACTGCTGCTTGTACGATTTGCCGTTACGTATCACGTATCATTACGTATTTATGACAAGAGGCAGTTGGGACGTTGTGTATGTACTAGGAGACAGTGATAACGATCGCTGTAATAAGTTGTGCACTGGGCTATGGGTGAACGGCGAACGGCAGTTTCCATAGCAGCTGATCGGCTTAATCGGCCTTGGCGTATGGAGATCGCTCGATCGGATGCAGTGGTCGAGATTTAATTTTAAATATATTTCGGATAATTTTTCGTCTCTTTTCTTAATGATCTTTGAATTGGCTAACGCGATGCTGACGATATTGTTTGATTAATTTTATGTGATTTTTGAGTTTTCATATGTTTGGCTATATTGATTAACTATCGATAGGACGCTCATTGTTACCGTGCGAATTATTGTAACGACTGTCCGCCGGTGTCGCCTTGAAATTCGAACGCGTTGAGAGGAGACGATTGGTAAGATCGAACGCGATACCGTCGAATCGCTCATGCCGATCCGATTATATTTTTTTTTAAGGGCGACTTGAAATCTTATTGAATTTTTGTAACGAGGGTCGGGTACTGAGAATCATGTTGTTTGCGAAAAAAAAAATTTTCCCGAAATTCCGATTAACCAAAGTTTTCGGCGACCTCGTTTTTTAAATTTTTTCAAGAAATTTTTCGCTGTCTTTTTTTTTCTGAAAAATCTCGTGACAAACAGCTGTACATTAACCAGGCCTTTCAAAGTCCACCGTTAGACGTTCCGAATATTTCGTTTTGCAGAACAGTGTTTTTTTTTGTGCAAAAATATCCCCACGTCACGACCAATTGAAAGGCTCTAACCACGTGGCGCCTCGTCTCGTTTATTTCTACATACAATCTATTCCAGGAGATGACAGGTGTCTGTCTACTGTTTGACGTGTTTTCAAATATTTTCCGCGTCTCGTATCGCGACTTCGTCATTGCACGACGAGAAGTCATTTATATTCCGAGTACTACGTTGCAGCATCTTGCAATTGTGTTTTGCACGGAGACTTCATTATCGGCGAGGAGATAGATGGCCGTGACGTCATTGACGTTAATGTATTATTTTTAAGCTTTTTATCTCGCGACGTGACGCTCCCATCGAAATTGCCCTTTAAACTACGTCACGCCTTGTTCGAATCGTCATTAACCACGTTGGCACGTCACGGGACTGTCTTGGCTTGGAAAACGACTGTCGAGTTGCAGTCGTACAAATTCGTACCTCGTTTATTTTTAGTCCCTACGGCGGGAAAGGGTTGGCAGTAATTCTATTTTTCGTCATGTCGTCACACTCATAAGAATCCACATCGACAGTTTTCTTACTCAATTTTTTTTGCCAACCTGTAAACATTTTAAAGACGCGAAAAATTTGACAAAATTCATCATTACACTGATATGATTTTATATAACGTCAAGTACTATTTAAATATTTAATAATCACAAGCGACAATATGTTCGTCTTTACGCGATCCGTCATTTTTTTTTTTATACGAAGCTACATACAATAACGACCGTGAAAAATATTTCTACGTTTTACGCAGGTGTCCCATAAGATTGATTATGGGAAATTGATTCTAAATATATATGTATATTTTCGACCCACGTGAATACCTAATATCGATAATGGCGATGTTATTTTTTGTTTTTCAACGTCTCCGGTAAACATATGAAATTTCTACTCTTTTGTACTGGCACGAAAGAAAAATATTTTTACGCTGATATAATCGTTTATTTTCATTTACCGATAAAGCACGATACTATTTGCACAATCGAATTCCTTCGTTCATCAGGTATGTGTAGACGACCTGGTGCATCCGGTTGACCGATAACGTAAGTGTACGCAATTGTCAAGAACATCGTTCACCCATCCACGTGTCTTCCTGTTCCTTCTTCCTGCCGCGAAATACCTAGAGTACATTAAGCCCGGATATTACTAAATTGCAAGTTCCGTTTTCGTGCGGTTTTCCTGTTGTCGTCGAGCCAGGATTTTCTCTGTCTACAGACATTGTGCAATTGACGCGTGTCCATGTAGACACTCCGCCTATGCAAACGAGGTCGGAAACTACGGAACTTTTCAAGAACTATTGAAAAAGCCTATTAATGAAACGTTCTCCAAATACTGAGGTGACAACTTCATACCTGTAGCACCTCAATTTTTGGAAAATTCGTATTTTAACAATGTTACGTAGTAAAACTATTGTTAAAACCTATCAGGAACTATAGAACTCCTCGAGGAATATTGAAAAAGCATATTGTTGAAACGTTTTTAAGAGATTTTTAAAAATTGCGGTGCTGGAGCTGACATCCCTGTAGCACCTCAATTTTTGGAAAATTCGTATTTTAACAATGTTACGTACTAGAACTATGGTTGAAACCTATCAGAAACTATAAAACTCCTCGAAAACTATTGTCCGGTACAAACTGATGCAGGGCTAACAGTACGAAAGTAGTACGAGATCGAGGGAAACGGCGGTGTATACGCCTATGTACTTTTCGGCTTTATCGACTTTGCTAAAGTCCGCCGGTGCCAGGAATTTCGCACGTATCTTCGGCTTCGAGAAATTCTCAAGAAATTCTTAAGTCAATTTCCAATACTACACGAGTACGTCACATTGCGCGGAAGTTTGAACTTTGACCATTTGACTTGCAATTAAACAAATTTTCGATTGGCTCTCGAATATATATATGTATATTGAATGATTTCACTTTCTACTGTATTATCATTATTATTGGAAAATACTCTGAATATATATATATAAGCTACGTTTGACTTCGTAGACTGCAACTGTGTCTTCCTTCATAAATTTTGGCAATCTGCCCGGATATCCGAGACTGAATCAAGTTCGTGACCTTAACTTACGTCGCTTAGAAACTACCAGACTAGACGGTCCTTGCCAAATGCGCCATGAGGTATCGGCTGGGTACTGAAAATATAAGTTAACAAGTTAATTTCATTGATATAAAAATTGTTTTTAATACTATTTTCAAAATGTAAATATTTCCCTGTGAAAGAAAAAAAAAACCCATAATCTACGATCCTAACCCCTTGTGGTTGACTTTAACCTACTCGAAAGACTCGAGCCTCGAGATTCCATTGCACCCACGGTTACGTTCTACTTCCATAGGAAAGAATTGAACGACGGGTGCGGAGAACCAGTCGAGTCGAGCGATCGCAAGGCGCATCTGAAATCCTACAAGAGGATATACTTTTTACGTTGTAAACGCGCACGCACGTTTCCTCAAGTGGAATAACGTTTAAGTCTCGAGACGTGGCGATTTACCAACTCGTGGCAGCCTACGATCTAGTATCTACGTACTGCGTAGAGTCGCACAGTATGTATATATATATATACATACCAATGTACGTATATCTTGCAGTACGCCTTGTTGTTCGTTCAAGTACCCCGTAAATTCGCGTAGGCGATAAAAGAGGCAGGTCGTAGTAGGAATCTTGCCAGGCAAATTTCTAAATGGGTCAATAAAGTACTGTCGCATTAACTTTGAAGGGTACAAAAAAACGAAGTAGTGTCCAGCGGCACCTACTTATTCTCTCCTTCCTTTGCATCCGCGTGCGGGATAACGTTGTTTCTCTTCGACGTCCCACGAATTCGTCTTCGCAGCCCAACGTCGCTCTTATGGCCGCAAACAACGTCCGTTCTTTCTTTTGAGAGGCTGTACAGTTGAGTTGTTTAAGATGCGACTATTAATTGCGTAAAGTGAATATTGCGCGTGTATGGAGTCTGGGTGAAAATAATTAAAAAAAAAAAAAAAAAAAAAAAAAACCAAA